AACAAATTTGAAGGGGAGCGTGTGATGAAGGGCAATGAGGAAAAGTGAAGCTTTCATACACTGGGTTGCCATTTGCTAAGTGATGAAGTTGATGCGCGGCACGACAATGTTGGCAGTGGTTTCCATATGACACTCACAAAATTGCCACTTGTCATTTAGAAATGTATTCGATTTAGTAGATTTGTGGCTGTCACATTAATCGAATTTTAACGATCAACGTACTGAAATCACGAACGATAATAGGCGCAGAGCGAAAGCAATGACAATAAAGAGTACATGACAACAGCATGATGTGGAATGAGAGAAAATCAAACAGAGACAACGAGTAAAACCACATTTATTTATATTCATTAATTTCATATTTTTTTTTGTGTTGGCATTGTTGTTGATTGCACTCGTTTGAGGGGGAGAATAATCAAAATGTGTGGATTCATTTTTATTTTCGGAAATGAATGTGTTGATACAAATATCTATTTTGTTCAACTCAATTTCCCAGAAAATGGACACAAAGTCACACATAACCATCGAAACTATATGAATAACGGATATTGTTTGTATTCTGGAAAATCCCGTCACATTCAATCCTGCCACTCAATTTCATACCACGCGATTATTCAATCTAAGTGTAAGTTTGTTCTATTTGATCATCCAATCATTTTATTATCTTAATAGAAGAATACCCCAGCACAGATTTTTTTTTTCTGGATCTATATTATTTGTTTGTGCATTTTAATCAAACATTTATGATGAATTCCATGAATCGAACTAATATTACCGTTACCGAGTTATTATCCAATTTTTGAAAAGTTTCACATTAATTTCGAGCATTTCTTTGCATTTCACATTATTCATTTTACTGTCACAACCATATACGATATTTTAATTCGAAAGATTCGTTTCGTTCTTCTCTTTTTTCAAATACGACGTCTTTTTATAAATGCATCTCTGTGACACATACGATGAATGATGATAAAAAACCAGTTAAAACTCATACAATGTGAATTCACTTTTTATCACCACACATTAATCGTTGCGGAATTGTACACGTATGGGATTTTATCAGAACAACTACACCTAAAAAATCCCCGAACCAATTACGTTGCCCATTGTTGCTGATTTGATATTTTAAGTGAGTTGATCGGGTAGACAGAATGTCTATGGAATAAATTGCAAGTGCCGTACTTTGCATCTAGTCACTTAAAAAAAGAGGAAACTCATATAATTGCCGTGTCTCGTATACGAATAGTGGTACTGTAATAAAAATTCAAAAATAATAACAAAAAAAAAAACGAATGTTTACGTTTGGATTGGAGCTTCCGATGATTAAGCGATGTCGGACGTTAATCAAATGCACGATTATTGTCAGGTATAGTTTGGTAGAGTATTTTTGTTGTTGATTTAATTAAAATGTTTTGAAGGTTTTTTGTAGAGTGTTAATTGTTGTTTTTAATTTTGTTTGTCATTTGAACTGTTTAGAATTAAAAACATTCAAATTTAAATTCAAAATACGACTGAAGTGAGCGAAAACATGTCAAATGAAAAATGTAAACAACTTGAACTAATTTTTAATTTGAATATATTTTTTTTCATCATCCTCATTCCTTGTCTACTTCTTTATTAGCACATTCTGTTCATTTCATGATTACTTGATCTGAATAATTCCAACCGATTTTTATAGAAACGAGTAAATTAACGCGCCATAAAAAAAGTGTTAATATGACTAAAAATCCATGCTTCCAGAAAAAATGAATCAAAATATTAAAAAAATTTACAAAAACATTTTTTTTTGTTCTGATCAATGAATTTTTAAATGTTGAAGACAAAACAATCAGCCTGCATTTTATTGATAAGAATCACGCGTTTTAGTTGGCCAATAAATTGTCAACTTAACCGAGGACCATTTTTTATTTCATCAAAATTGTCGAATTCAATTTCAACAAAATGTTCACATGCACACGATCGAAATAAATGAGTGAGCCAATGTGTTAAACCATTTTTTAACGGTTTTTTTTTACTTGGTTCAAATTTGTTTAGTCGTATACAGACAACATGTTTGTAGCTTACATGATATATCAATTTTAAATCACGCGAAACACTTCGAAGTTGTAAGTTAGATGTCTATTTCGATGATGGATAGATCTGGTCGGGAAAAAATACGTTGTGTCCTTTTATTCGTTGTATTCAGCTTTGAACGAAGTGTCACATCGACTGTGTCGATTGACGATTCTATAGAGACTGAGTGACTTTAGTTTGTTTTCACTTGATGGGCAATGTACACTTTTTATTCAGAAGCCAAGACGCCAGAGGAGAAAGAAGCGTTGTAAAACGGTTGATACCCCAGGACCATTTGATATATTCTACGTGCTATCATCGCAAGTACACACATATTTATTCCGATAAAGTGGATTCTTGGCGCAAATACTGATACACAAAATAAAACGCACACCATCGCATACGGCGCGCACAAACCCATCGACAATACAATGAACATTTTCATTTCACGCATTCTCCAGTATCGCGCTGTATATTCGCATGATGATGTGGAAATACACTGCTCTTGCACAACATTCATGCACACAAACACACAGTCAATCAGCCAAATTGCTGAACGGATGACTAAACAATGAACGGCACACAAAGACAATGAACAGTTTCGTATTGTAACGACAACGAAACACCAGATACCGACATACGAATAATATATAGAAAAAAAAAATGTAAACAAACAAAAAGCGCACATTTCTTATGCATTCAAGCGCACCTTCAAACTGTGGTTAGTTGTGGAAAGTGTTGGAAATGTTTACGAATTAAAACCGATTCCTCGAGCTCTTTTTCTTATTATTTGTTATGTTAATTTCTCATTTTTTTAATGGAACTTTTTTCATACAATATAACACTAATAATAAGTGTGTACATGTTAGTGATTAATCTCAAACAATAAAAATTCCAATTTTCGTTATCATATTGTTCGAAAATTGTCGGCGATGTTAAAACTCAATAAATTTATTTTATGTCGAATATGTTTCATACGCAATCGGTTAAGTTAACTAGTTAAGTCACTATAAAACTCTTTGGTAATAATTCCGTTTTTTCACAAATATTATTCTTATGAATTCGCAAAATTTATATTCCACACATCACAATTTGTACTTTCACAAAATTCAATTTTTTTAATGTTTCCAATGTCCAATTTCTTGATACTTTGAAAGAAAACTTGAAAATGTTCAATATTTAATTTGAAAATTACAATTAAATAAATTGATTCGATTTGAAATTATTTAACTGTTTTTATTTGAATCTTTTCAAATTAAATCAATTTATTTTATTTGTGAAGTTTACAATTCAACAGTATATTTAGGTTTGGCATCGGTCGGTGTAAAATTTTGTCGAAATGTGTCTCATTGACCGCTTATCATAGTGACACATGACAGCGTGTGTGATTGATGATTTTGTAAAATGTGTGCATACAATCAGTTTTTGTTCACATACACACAGCCACACGCATATATACAAACATTACATAAATATGTTATCAAGCATATTTTAAATTAAAACTAATCTTCATTCAACGTAATACTCTCTAAAAGAACATATTATCCAATTGATAAACTGAAGCATATTGAAAAGTGACCGCACTTTGTGATTTTTTTCTCACACAATGCTATGATTCACATCCTCATCGTGATGCTCGTTGTTTATATCGTTTAACAAATTTTGAACTGTCGTATGTGGTTCAGAAACTGAACATTAAAGTGATAAGAAAATGTCATTCGCTATGAGTGGTAATTTTAAATTGCTATAATAAGCTTATGTTTTTCGATTTCAATGTCATCACGTGTTGCTCGATATTTGTATGATAAATGCATGAGCAAAGGAGGGTGGGTGTAGAATATATCAACTTAGTATACTTGAATTGCTCAAAGTCGATTACGAAAGTCATAAGAATTTAAACGATTAATTTTTTGATGCTCACTTGCTTAATATCGTTTCTGAATTTCAGATCATTTTTTCAAATTATTAAAAAATAAGCTCGATTTGAATGGCATCAATTTGGACTAATGTCGTAAAAATGTTCGTAGATAGTTTCATGAACTGTCTCAACCATTTGTTTTGGATATTTGTGTGGTCTCGATGAGGGAATGCTATCGTGCATTCAATATAATAAGCTACCGTTGCTTTCATCAAATTCTTCTTATCTCTGATTATAATCGTATTTATAATTTTTTAGATTAATAATTGAATATGATTTTATAATTTTAAATTGACGCTATTTTTTTATTTTCTACTTGAAAAATATATTTATAAATTAAGAAATATTAATAAGTATTAAAGCCAAATATGTCTATAGTCCGTATGGCTAGAAATCGAAAAAAGCGATAAAATTAAAGTGGTTACAAAAAATATTTATAAAAAATGTTACGTTTTGTTGCTTGTTTGGAAAAAGTTTCAAAATAACTCGCAAACTCTGAATATTTCGCTCTACTCTTACTTGTCGCTCATAACGAATATGTAAAAAAAATCATAAGAGCACAAAGAAGAAAGTACGTACTTTAAAAAATGCGCTGTTGGTATACTCGGGAAAGAAATGTAAGTTCAAATAAAATGAGCAAAATATATGCGGCAAAATCTTGTAACTAGTTGAGAAAATTCAAACCATGAGCATTGATTTCAATTAAAAGCGGCATTTTTAACTGCAAAACTTTTACAATGTTCGTGCGCTTTGTTCTTTGCATTCAAACTAAAATATTTCATAAATATCGTTTTAATATCCAGTAATTGTCAGCAAAATAGAATTGGCAAATCGTTTGGCATAGAGTTTAAATAAAATGAGGGAACAATTTTGTGATAGATTACCAACTCTCTTCCCACTTTCATTCACCCTGCTTTATTCGACTTGTTGCTTCAAATAATGAAAAGTGTCACATTGAAATTCACAATACAATCTCTATTAATGCGTCAACCAATATAAAACGTTAGAATAAGCTCATGTTTTCACTCACCTTCTTCTTTGTATTCCATACTGTGTTGCATGCTGATGACCAATAAAATGAATCGAAAATAAAGCAAATTTCGTGCTTTTTACCATATATTTCATAAAAACTGTCAGTAAGAATAAATAGTTGAAGCCATTATATGTTACAAAATTTCCGAATATTCAAGTTCTTCACGTAAACGTATAAATTGTTGAGTGATGCCATTTGGTGTCACCGTGTTATATCATCACGATGATTTTTATGCGAATTTGACGAATGCACCTGAATATAATATCATAAATCTACATCATATGTTAAACATGTTAATATGCACATGTATCGATTTGTAAGTTTGTCTAACTTCAGGCGATTTTAAGAGCAAAAAAAATGTATAAATCACTTGGAACACAGTTTATTATAAACAGAAGTATAAATATGCGGTTTCTTAATCACTATTGCGATACAAGATATTTTGTGAAATAAATCGCGCGAAAAGAAGGGCACTTGAACTTTTACTTTCTGATATGATGAACAACAAAGCAAGGAGATGTCATTTTATACAATCTGGTTGCCAACAAACTGAAACGCAACGATGAACTGCTCATCCGCCATTTAAGCGTCGCTCATAAATGAAACCAGGAGAAATAGCAGCATCGAAATGAACTTTCTCTCTCCATCCCGATGACACTTTTCTCACAAACAATGTGGGTTATCCGCTGCGAATTATTTATTCGCAATTTGGAGTAAAAGCATGCAGACTTTTTTGAGTGTGTCACCGGGAATAAAGCACAACCATATACACTTTTATAGTAATTTCGTGCGCATGCTCTGCAAAGCATCAACTTAGACAAAAATAGAAGAGTAATGATGCCGCATGGAAAACATACGGCAGGTTTCTCCTCTGTGTTTGCTAGTTTGTTGGAGGATTTTGTTCAAAATGTGCCATTGTTAAAATTCAGTTCATTTAGTCTTCCAGCCGATGGCAACTTGGACCGCAATGATGCATCGAATTCTAAATGTTACAATGCTTATAAATCGACCGAAAACGTTATTACTTTTCACTTTTATCTTAAAAACCAGAAATTAATGCAAAAAAATAATAATAATTGAAAACAAAACAGACCACAACTAATTGCTCATTTTGCGAATCAAAACTAAATGAAATTAAACAATTAGGTTTACAAGAAGTTTTATTATGAAGCATTTCACTGCCACGTTAAGTGTCGTCGAATTTCATTCGGTTAGAATATGCCGCTTGGCAAGTTGCAAGAATAGAAGCCGACAAATAGAGTCAAATAACATCCGACATTGACAACGCTTTTGCAGAAGACGTGACTGAATGATTAAACTACAAAATCGAACTGTAGTACTGAAACCGAAAAAAAAAACCACAACGGAATAGCTATTACAGCAGACTATGTTGGTTGTTGACTTTTGCACAAAGCGAACGTAAGCTCAGTACAAAAAAAAAATTGCAAAAAGGCAAACAAACGAAAATATATTCAAACATCATTTTGTAAGAGGTTAGAGCATTGTAATTGTCTTCTCCATTGAAAATTTTAATCAATGAATTTCAGTCGAAGCTTGTGGCATTTGGTGAACGGAACAAAAATTGTGGTTGAATTTCGCCTTTTTCATATACATATTCCATGAAATACTCTGGAATTTTTTTTAAATAATGTTTCTAATACGGTAAGTATAATAATTCCTTTACCAAATTATCAATTATAATTACGATTAACTTAATTTCAACCGTTTATAATGCATTAAGCAAAAAGAAAAGTTTGAAAGCAACAAACTAATAACGATTGCAAAATATAATCAATCGCTTAAACTATTCTTGTGTCGAATGCTATGATAATTCATTATTGAAATTCTTAATGCCTATGCAAGTGAGTGAAGAGTTAATGAAAATTGTCATCAATTCTACGTCTGTCTTCCTTGCATTTGAAAGCAAGAAAAAATGATTTGATTCTTCGTGACAGTGAATAGTTTGGATGTGTATTTTTCCTATTTTGAATGTAATAGTTAGAAGCTATCAAGTAGATCATTAAAGTAAGCATTTACTTCAATTCAGTAGATTTGTATACATTCGACTTGAAAATAAATGTAAACACTACTTTGCTCGCACTGATAACAATGCGATGGTATGTGTTTTTCGTGTGTGAAATAAAAAACGACTTGAAATTGCGCTCAGTCTTCATCTAATATTCCGAATTCTTCCGATAAGACCCGGCCTGTATTTACCTGTGATCGATTGCGCGCTTTTGTTATTATATTAATTTCTTTCGTCAAAATAACTTAGTAGCAAAAAGAAAACGACGATAAGAAAATATTTGTATATGTTTCACTGGAATTTGTATAGCTGCTGCAAAATTCGAAAAATGACCCAAACTGTTGAACTGTTTTCATTTCTATAGTGACACACATCTCAAGCGCGTTCACAATTTATTTGAACGCGTTTTAAATTTTGTATACATGAATATCGGTGGATTGGTGAGTGTGCTTTGAAATTGTAATGTGCAAAGATGTTAAACATTTTCCCAAATGAGCAAATGATGTTTATACGTCGTCGTAAGATAAGAGATTGTTGCCTCGAACGTCTAAGTGCATTTGCCAGAGAGGTGTGAAAATGCGCACTTGTGATCATATCGTTATCATTATATCAGTTTTGGTAACTGTGCTGTGAACACGTATGTATTTCGATTGACATTCGCTGTCTTCAATCTCAATCGTTGTGTACTTTTGTAGATCGTTTGTTGGATTTTTTTTAAAAACGTTTCGTAACGATTTTCTGCGATTCAAAGTATTTGTGTAACGGTGTTCAAATAAAGTGATTTTTACAAAGAATTTTTATTCTATTTTAAACATTAAACGCAATATTATTTGAAAGATTCAACTCAAATATCCGAATATTTCATTAAATAAATTCAAATCACATGACAAAGGTGCTGTCAAGTTCAGTGGTTTTTCGTGAATGATTGCAAACGAATGTCAGCACGTTAAATATATATTTTAAAAAAGCGAAACTTTTTCTCTCCATATACAAAAAATCGATTATTCGTTATTTACATTCAACAATATGTAGAATGTTGACAAAAAATATATATATATTAAAATGCTTCGCTCTAAAATGAGAACATGTGACAATGCATTATATTGTTGAGCATTATTTATTTCCATTGCATATATTTTGATTTGCTCAACTAATTATAAAATTTGTAATTTGCATTTTAAATCACCACTTTATTCAGATTGTTAATTATTTTTCGGATAATTACCATGACGAGGGTTCCTAGGGTTCGGATTACCCCCCTCCAAAATATTTTTAGGAACCCTCAACGATTTTGGAAATGAGGACCTTTTATTGCTCTTCACTTTTTTTGGCCGAGAAAATTCTTTCGATTTGCTAAAAAAGTGAAGAGCAAAAAAAAAACGATTTTATCCTCATTTCCGACAAATTGTTGACTTCGTCAGGGACCCTCCATGGATTTTTCCAGGGATCCTCTACGTAATTTTGCCATCACCCCCCTCTAAAAAATTTACGTCATCATCTATGGATAATTACCAAATATAATGAAAATGTTTATGCGATCGAATGTTTGATTTGGTGGAAGTGGTGCTTGTTGACTTTTACACAATTTTTTATTTATTTGCACAGCTATTTGAAAACACATATATATGGCGAAGTGAAGCGACTGATGCACTACTTTTATGCCATGAAAATTGAAATTGTGTTAACTTTACAGAAAACTTCAGGCTACTTCTTTTAGAACACAAGTATTTAATTTCTTTTCAACACAATTGATGTACCATAACTTTCCACAATCGTTGACTATTCAAAAATAAACGTAGCGTTAAAAAGTAAATCCACTGAATAATGCTCAAAATAAGCCGTTTATATATGTTTTTTTCTTGACCATTGTCATTTCCGGCTTCGGAACAAAATTAATAGAAACAGTTTTAAAGCAATTTCAGGGAGATAATGGCGATATTATAATCTGTGTAAATCGCATGTGCATTTATGGCAAGATCATTTTCCGTTAACATAGGGACATCTGTTAAATTGAGTTGATTATACATTATTGTATACTTAATAAAAGGAGCGATTACTTGTGATTACATCATAAATCGATTCACTGAATATTTGTAAAATTTTCCGTGAAATTGTGAGTTAAAAATTGAACATAGATGAGCAACGGCTTCCAAGTTTGTTGGTCGGAGAAAATATTGAATGGCATAAATCAAGTCAGTTATTCTGTGATGTTTGTCCACTTTGCATAGTTCAAAGGAAGTTCGGGTTTTGTTCTCCCGGAGGGTCAAATAGTGAAGATAAATGGATTTTCACAAAATTAGATAACGAGCCATTTGATTTTAATTGATAAGACAGGAATCTATCCTCGATTTTGATAATGTCCCCACCAAATATTCTCACATTTTTACTAAAACGCAGGTTTTATTCCCACCTTTTCAATTTTACGGTAATATTCTAAAACATTTAAATGTTGATACCGAAGATAAAATAATATATCTTTTAACCAAAGAAATGAAATTGAATGTGAACAATTAGTTGCCTTTGTTCGAAGCTCAAACCATTTGTTTTCGCTTGCCACAAAGCGATATCTCTTTTTGTAATGTGTTCCACAATATGAAGGCATTGCAATTAAATGACTTATTGTCGAGACATTGAAAGAAAACGTTAATTGATTGCCGTCATTCCATTTCACTGACTTTCGTTTCATAAGACAAGCGAGAAAATCGACTGTATTAATCGGCTCACTGGATATGATTTCGAAAAAAAATCACCAATTGCAGTTTCGTGATAAATGAATGGTTTAGATGAATATCAATTACAAAATTGTGCGCTTTCAATTCTGCTTGATAAACATCGACGAATGAGCCAGCCATAGAAAATAATAATGCACACATTGGGCTGGCTGGCTTTTCGAAAACCATATTTTCATTTTTCGAATGATGGACATTATGGTTTGTTAAGAAAATGGCACCGAAGTCAGCGACATTCAGTTTGATTCACGATTTTCGATCGATCGCAACGATACTGTTTTCATATCCAATGTTAAGATCTTTTCAGTAAATAAATTTACGACAAAAGAGCATACGAAGAACAATTCTAAAATATTTGTGAAACATAAATATTTGCATAGGTGTTACAGAAGTGATAAAAAAAAATGAAAGATGTCTCGGAAATAATCGGTTTTCGATCACATTTCGGTCGAAATGTTGGCGTGCTCTTTGGTACAATAGCGTCAATTTATATCGCAACCAAAGGCATTCAGTATATCAGGTGAGTAAGCAAAGCGAAGAAAAAAAACGGAAACTGTTTTATTCATAGAGTGTTATTGTTTCATTTTCTCTCACACATTTTTCATGGTTTTATTAAATTCATAATTTCATTCATAAAAACATAAGATTCTTGAATTTGTCAAAATATTTGATTTTGAATTTTTCAAAAAATCTGGCGCTTGCAAGCTGCAACTCATATAAACAAGTAAGAACATCTAAACAATTGAATATTCTTTTTGGTAATCTTGTTTCCACTTCGTCAAGCATTGAACTCGTATAGCCGTAAAAGTCTGTTGTAAACGTGGTATTTACATTCAGTTAATTACTTTAATTTTCTACTTGCCATCAATCACGTTCTTAATTAACGCATTTAATTAACTTATGATGCAAAGTGTAAGTGTATTTTAAGTAGCCATCAAACTCCAATAACTGGAACTGTCAAACATACTTTCCAAATTGAAATTATGACTATCTATCAATTTTGGCTAATCATCAAAATCTATTTTGGGCTAATAATATATCTATATGAAAATTATCAAACTATCAACGGACAAACAGAAGGAAGAGTCTTAACTCAAGCGTTAGTAAAAAGATAATATTAATTGAGAAGAATAAACCCTTATTCAAGATCTTTGTAGTATAGAATTTTCAATAAAATGAAAAAAAAAATCTCCATGTGATTGATTAGATTTATAAAATAGAATGAAAAAAATGGCGCATCATTTATATGATCACACTTCTTCTTTTGCGTTTGAAATCATATAAAACAATTGACGATGATGAAGTACCAGATAACATGTACGGCCAATTTGCTGTTGCGAATAAAGTTTCGTGGCAATTATTGAATCGGGTGTACTGATGAACATTCAACGGGACTCACAACTGAACGAATCGTTAACATTCACTTGCATAAATTGCGTTCAAAAGGTGTAGGTTTTGTTTGGTTCTATTTCGTTCATGTTCGCTTTGTCTATCAATATTGTTTCGATGCAAGTTTTCTTCTCTTGTGTTTTACTGAAATTGAATAATAATCATGGTGATCGTGATGGTTTGACAATACATCAGACCGACCGCTGAATGTTTATTCATGTTAATCATTATTCCATGCGTGATCGTTGGTGTGTTGTATTCACATATGCATGCAGTTATGATCCGTCAAGTGAGAAATTCAAAACGGAAGTTCAACATTCAATACCAACAAATGTGAGGCGCAAGAGTGTCAGTACAGTTGAAATGAATTGCCTCGCATGTACTCACATACGTGATCATTCATTCGATACGACTTTATATTTGTTACAAACCAAACGCTTCCCCGTCTCTCTCTCTCTCTCTCTCTCTCTCTCTCTCTCTCTCT